ACACTCAAATAGAGGTGTAAATATTGAGCTTATCTATTAAATTTTCAATATATGGTATGTGGCATTTACTCCCAGGAAAAATGTTCAAACACAACACAGTATCGGTGAACAGAAATCACTGTTGTTTCCTTCCATGGAGAAAATACATGAAAATAACATGTTCAATTGAATTATCTTGGCCATATGAAATGTTATGAATATTTGAATTGATTACAAATTGAGTAATATATTGTTTTAAAATGAAGATAACGAACCCAAGCTCAAGAGTCCACTGCAACAAAAGAAATTGGGAACTGAGCAAATAAAAACCTTACAAATCATAAGATGTGGTATAAGTTGTTAAGGAGGAGTAAGCATTTAATGTTTACATGTCTCACACGCAAGTTTTCATTGATAGGATCCTTAAAACCCAAAAACTATTTTACAGTTTAACATGTAAATAATGGACTAATAATACGTAAATAAACCTCCATTATGATTCGACTTATTAAAAAATTTCATAACAAGGGTATTGTTTGGACTGTAGAACTTGCAAAATAATTAATTTCATCGAATCTCTGGATATTTTAATCTCATGAATTTTATCAATAGCTCTTGCGTATCGAATATGTGGAAATTATTCTCTCTATTATATAAGTTATGATCATTGCTACATAAATAAGGAAAGTTGACAATAGAAATGTTTAATAGTCTCTTTTTAGTTGGGAATCAAATTATGAACTATATCTGTGTCAAACTCTGTTGTATCTTTTATCGCAAGAGATTTACCGCATCGACACATTATATGAATGGAAGTAACTAGCGTTTCAACATGTAATCATACGTCATCGATATATTTAAATGTCTAGTTGATATAAAATGAGGCAAAAATTTGTTACCATGGCATCCTTCCGGTTTGATCTAATATAAAAGGAAGAAGTAAAACTATTATCAGTGTTTTAATGTATAAAAGCTTTTATCATATATTTGTGGGACTTAATCATGTTAATACAGCACAGTTGACAGAAGAAGGGAAAATTACCCTTAAAATCTCGAATCTCGTTCTAGCAAGGTAAAGTATGAAAAAGATTATTTATTTCTAAGTCATCATGCAAATTGAAAGATTTTTCAAATTGGTACACAGATTCATGTATCATACATACGGAAATATACGATCATTGGAAATATTCCACTTATTCGCCTACAAAGCAATCAATCAATAATTAATAATTATGATTTCTTATATTTCTTTGAAAAAGATGCCTGCCAAAAAAAAATCCAACATCATTTCTAACTCCTTGCAACGATGTTGTATACCTGTCTGAAAAATAAAAGTTCAGCTAACAATTTTTACTCTGTATCGAAATAAGTCTGCTATATTTCCAGAAGTTATCCCCTTTTGGGGTACCCTTATTTCTGTCTATTCTCAAATATGCATATCTTGAGAACATGAGAATGGTAGGGACGAAACTTCTACTGATGTTTTCGATATAAATACTCAAATAACTTTTATTCATCAGTTTGATATGGCTTAAATTTAATCAGATATTGTTTCATTCTTTTTTAACTAAGTGTATGCCTATCTATTTGTTACTATCCTATATTTTAATGAAAATTCTGGCCGAATTTTTTTTTTTTAAAAAGCGCGCTGTTCCTGCACTGCTAGGAGACAGATTCCGAAGGTCGAGAGTTCAACCCCGGGCTGGGGCGGAAGTGGGTATCCATGTAATAGTGAATTTCTTTGTGCTTTCTATATTAATATATCTTCACTTAGGGCAGTTATATTAGTTTAAGAGTTGTTGTAAAATGTGCTTTATAAATAATAATTAATTTCATTACAACATGTATTGGTAACAATCCTCTGTTAAAACTAATGTCCAAATAACTGTATCTCACTTCTATTCTCAATGACCCTGTAGTGTAGGACAGCGCCGCGAGAATTCCATCGGCATCGAAAGCAAGTTTTTTGACTTGCCTAGATAGCCGAGCGGTCTAGCGCGCTGTTCCTGCACTGCTAGGAGACAGATTCCGAAGGTCGAGAGTTCAACCCCGGGCTGGGGCGGAAGTGGGTATCCATGTAATAGTGAATTTCTTTGTGCTTTCTATATTAATATATCTTCACTTAGGGCAGTTATATTAGTTTAAGAGTTGTTGTAAAATGTGCTTTATAAATAATAATTAATTTCATTACATTATGTATTGGTAACAATCCTCTGTTAAAACTAATGTCCAAATAACTGTATCTCACTTCTATTCTCAATGACCCTGTAGTGTAGGACAGCGCCGCGAGAATTCCATCGGCATCGAAAGCAAGTTTTTTGACTTGCCTAGATAGCCGAGCGGTCTAGCGCGCTGTTCCTGCACTGCTAGGAGACAGATTCCGAAGGTCGAGAGTTCAACCCCGGGCTGGGGCGGAAGTGGGTATCCATGTAATAGTGAATTTCTTTGTGCTTTCTATATTAATATATCTTCACTTAGGGCAGTTATATTAGTTTAAGAGTTGTTGTAAAATGTGCTTTATAAATAATAATTAATTTCATTACAACATGTATTGGTAACAATCCTCTGTTAAAACTAATGTCCAAATAACTGTATCTCACTTCTATTCTCAATGACCCTGTAGTGTAGGACAGCGCCGCGAGAATTCCATCGGCATCGAAAGCAAGTTTTTTGACTTGCCTAGATAGCCGAGCGGTCTAGCGCGCTGTTCCTGCACTGCTAGGAGACAGATTCCGAAGGTCGAGAGTTCAACCCCGGGCTGGGGCGGAAGTGGGTATCCATGTAATAGTGAATTTCTTTGTGCTTTCTATATTAATATATCTTCACATAGGGCATGTTATGTTAGTTTAAGAGTTGTTGTAAAATGTGCTTTATAAATAATAATTAATTTCATTACAAAACGTATTGGTAACAATCCTCTGTTAAAACTAATGTCCAAATAACTGTATCTCACTTCTATTCTCAATGACCCTGTAGTGTAGGACAGCGCCGCGAGAATTCCATCGGCATCGAAAGCAAGTTTTTTGACTTGCCTAGATAGCCGAGCGGTCTAGCGCGCTGTTCCTGCACTGCTAGGAGACAGATTCCGAAGGTCGAGAGTTCAACCCCGGGCTGGGGCGGAAGTGGGTATCCATGTAATAGTGAATTTCTTTGTGCTTTCTATATTAATATATCTTCACTTAGGGCAGTTATATTAGTTTAAGAGTTGTTGTAAAATGTGCTTTATAAATAATAATTAATTTCATTACAACATGTATTGGTAACAATCCTCTGTTAAAACTAATGTCCAAATAACTGTATCTCACTTCTATTCTCAATGACCCTGTAGTGTAGGACAGCGCCGCGAGAATTCCATCGGCATCGAAAGCAAGTTTTTTGACTTGCCTAGATAGCCGAGCGGTCTAGCGCGCTGTTCCTGCACTGCTAGGAGACAGATTCCGAAGGTCGAGAGTTCAACCCCGGGCTGGGGCGGAAGTGGGTATCCATGTAATAGTGAATTTCTTTGTGCTTTCTATATATATATATATATATATATATATATTGAATTTGTTTGTGCTTTCTATATATATATATATATATATATATATATATATATATATCCAGAGATATTTTTCATTGCATACTTTTACTGTCTCTTTCGATTGATTGAAATTCTAATTCATCATAGTTCATGTTAATTGCATATTTAATTTATTTCTATTTTTATTTGATTTGGAACGCAATCATACAGCAACAGGATGAATGAATACTTATACTCTACCTTTCTGAAATGATGCAAAATGCATCAAGGATTGAAGTATGTTTTACAGTTGTGTTTTTCTTTATCGTGGATATACGCTCAAACCACTTCCAATGCGGCTGGCGTTTGTGGAAAGTAAGTAACATTTAAATTTTCCCTTTTTTAAAGATATTTTTTTTCATTTGCTCTGTTTGGTTATGCATCACTAAAATATATTTACCGTATTTTAAATCAAACCTCATGTAAGATAGTAGCATTGTGTTAAAGAGAACCATTGAAATGCTGCAAAAACTACAGAAGAGTTGGAGATAAATGTGAAGGTAAAACAATGATTTATACATGTAACAGGTTGTATAACAAACTGCATTTTAGTCTGCAGTTTTGAATATATCGTTAAATTTGTGTTTAAAAATATCCTTACAATAGTTACACATTTAACCTGTAAAGAGATTAAATTAATAATATTTTTCTCTTTGAATTCATCATAAAGAATAATAATTAATAATTTTATTCAAAACAAAGAATGCTTTCCTGGACGTTTTGGTACGAACTGTAATGACGAATGCCCCGATGGATTTTATGGGAACTTATGCGGGAAAAAGTGTAATTGTTTGCAATGCAACAAGATATATGGATGTATACAGAATTCAACCTTACAGGGTAAATTTGAGATACACACACACACTCAAACTTAGGTACCATAAAAAACTAACCTCATCTTTTTTCTTTACATGTTCCTTTTTCGTTTTTAATTCTTTTTTTTATACGCCGATTTTTTTGTATTAAAATTGTTTGTTAAGACATTATCTCAATTATTATGTATAAAACGTTTGATTTACCTCTCTAACTATGTGAAAAGTAAAGTGCATGCGTATTGCACGGTTACAAATGGAAAAAAATGCTATCTTCAGGACAACTACCCGCACCTGACGAGAACATTGAGTGGCATATTGTTGCAATGTTCGTATCTGGAAGTGCGGGCCTCTATGGGAAAATATTTGTTAATCGTTTTCTCAAGAATGGAAAAGTTTTAATTAGGGATATTCATATATAAGTATCTTCAGGTATTGTAGATTGAAAATTCTATGAAATCGGGACCCTCGAGAAGGGACAGGCATCAACAGGTGGTCAAAGTTAGACTTAATGGAAATGAATAGGAAAACTTTTCTTGAAAAAAAGTTTCTTCTCAATATCAACCGAGCAATGATTAGTTATATTTTATATAGAAACATTAGCACGTAGTGTAGACTTGGGATTTTCAAACATTTTTACTTTTGTTTGTCCTGTATTCAGGAGAAAAATATTAAATTGACTATTCTTTTGATGAAAATAAATAAGATTTTGAGTATATTTTTTGTTTGATAGGAAACTCCAAAAACACCAGAGGAATCCACAGGGGAATAATGGTAAAAGGCATTTTTCAAAGATTGATTTTGTAATTCATTTTATATTTGAGGTATTTTCTAATCCTTGTTCATATTATCAAACTTTGATACTTTGACACGTTACTAAGATAATCTTCAAAGAGATGTGAAAATTATATTTATATTAGATGTTCCAGATTCCAATGGGCAACCACAATTAAATCCAAGTACAAGTACAATGATTGCGGGGGAATATATTGAAAATTTCCCAATCTCTAAGGAACAACATCAATCATCAAAATGCCATAATCTGACAGAAGCATTTTCATCTGATAGATGTTTACAAAAACAGGTTGCATTTAAAGACGGCAGCATATCACAAGATGCTGAAAATACATCAGAAAACGTATACAGTCACCTCAACATGGACGCTATGTCCTACAACACGTTAAATCACACATCCGAATCAGAAAAGGCGCCAGTTATAGGAATGTATTCGACATCTTCGCAGGAAGTGACTTCCACAGAGAATATTTCTGACAAAAAAGAAACAAAATGTGCAAGAAGACAAAGTTTTCATCACCCTGAAGTTGTCTTATCAAAGGGAGATGACAATTCCATGACGAAAGGTGATAGGGAACCAATTAACAATATAACTATGAAAAATACCTCTGAAGCTGCAAAATCAAACATCCAAAACTCAGAAAAGTTTTCAACCTCTTTGACTAAAAAAGTAAGAACTCCATCAAAAAGGGAAAAACTAGAGAAGAAAATGCATGTGGATGAAATGTCCAAGATGCTTGAAGACTTTAAGCCAAAAACTGAAGAACTAGAAAACAATAATTCAAAGGCAAGCGTACTTCACAGATCATCGAAAAAGAAAAGGAAACTGTTAAGGTACAGTTTCGCGCCTTCTACAGAAATAGCTTGATTGATTTAAACAAGAAATAAATTATTTTATCCTTAAAATAATGCATAATATTTAAAACGGAAAATATATTATATTATGTTTTTAAGACACTGTGGTCGTTTAATAAATAATGCAACATGTCATCTAAAAATTAGAAAAGTACGTAAAACATGTTTTCCATCCTGTGGTTTTATATTTTTCCTTATTTTTAATCGAATCCTATTAGTTTTATTTCCTCAAACTAATAAAATTTGCTGCAAAATTAAAATTTGCAATCCCTGTTACCCTTTACACATGTATAAGGGCTTTGTATTTACAAAAATAAAAGCTCAGCATACTAGTCTTATCTTTAGAGATACCCCAAAGGTACCGATGAATTTAATTTCCCATGACATATCTGACTCTTCTTTTGACCGTTTTCACGTGTTTTGGGAATAAAAAATCTCATAATGGCTTACATCTAGCTAATTTGAGCAATTGAAAAGTTCTGTTTACTTTCTTTTGTTCAATATCTTATTTGTTTCTCTAAGCATATAAGCTAATCAGTTGTATGTCTGGCTCAGGAAAAATACCCTTGTCCCGAAATTTGAACTACCATTGCATGAAATCCGTTTAGCTTTAGTAGCTGCAATTCGAACATAAAAAAAACCACTGCTGGTACTTTAAAATTATTTGGATGTGTGGATTTTATGGACTTAATCTTGAATACTGTTCGTTATCTCCATATGTTTCATGTATACATGCCCTTTGAACCTCTCTTAATACATGAAAATAAATAAAACATGTTTGGAGCATTCGCTTCTCCATATTGTTATAAAAAGACACCTTTTCTTTGATTCCACAATTTTTATTTTTTCTTACTTTTCGGCTTTAAAAAATACACCTTTGTTTTTTTTTTTTTTATTTATCAAGAAAGTTTATCACATCTATTTCTAACAAAAATTGTAAAACAGACAGATGGCATATTTAACGCGTGTTTTTTCTAAGGCAATTGTAGAAAATAAGGCTTACTATGGAATGAATTTCTTTGCGACGACAATAGGAAGATAGAACTTTTCAGCTGTGAAAAAATAAATATACTGCCTCAACATTATATACATGTACTGTATATTGCGTTACCTATTGCATGACCGTCGTACATGTACATGCACTATAAAGACGCCCCCATGACGCAGTGGTTAGAGTACCTTATGCTCGAAAGTCGTGGAATAATGAGTTGGCCTTTACTTTGCGAGTACGAATATCATTGTGGGGCATGGAGTCAACTCCTTATATCACGATTTTCGAGCTGAAGCTACTTTAACCACTGCGCCATGCGGGCATTTATATAGTATATGTACATGCACTATACCTTATGAACGGAAGTCCCGCGGCACAGTGAGATTCGGCACGTAAAAGATCACCCACTGCTAAAAAAAAATGCCTAGTTAAAATATGCAGTCGTTGACAGGCATGTTGTGGCGTCCCAGAATTGGTAAATATCTCTTAACAAACAAAACAGGCGTATATCAGTTTCATGAAATTTCAACAATGAAAATGAAAGATTGGTTTCTAAATTGTTCTATAGTCAAATAAGGAAAATACAATGATCGGATTTCCAGGTTATTTATTTCTCATGGAATTGAAAAAAAAGGATTTGAATGGAAAATCGAAAAGTAAAAGGGGCAAGAAAAATAACTGTCTTTTGTTAAAAATTAAGTTCTTTTGTGATGAAACATTTTTTTAGTAAACTTGATCTGACTATCTATCCGGAAGAGAATATTCAAATTTCCGCATTTAAGCAAATTTAGTTTAAGCAATATAATAAAGACGTCATTGAACTTATTTCAATGAATAGTGGAAGTCGTCAGTTTTTAAAAAAATAAAATTCTGATCTCGATCAAAACCATAAGGCTTAACCAGCGCCAGTATTCACCGATCGGTACCTAGTCAATAGTCCTCAATTATTCATCCTTCCGGCTTTAAAAAGTGCCAAGCAAAATACTAAAAAGTACTCATAAAGACGACTGAACATTATTTTCCTCATTTTCAAGTCTTTATGAAGGATCTCTACACCTATGAAGTATAACTGATTTTTTTTGTTGCATGCATTTGTTTCTAATAATAGGCCCAATATCCAATAAGATAAGACTCCAAAGTATTTCACTTTATTTTTTGAAAATAATTGAAGTATTTAATTCATTTTGTTAAAACTTCTCTCTTTTTTTTGAATACCTTGTGCTTTAAATTTCTATTCAAAGTTAAATGTTTTAAAATATTGAAATAAACACCAACAAAGTTATAAATAAAATCTGCATAATTTTTATATTAATCTTCAAAAATAGACGGTCGCCCGCGTGGCGCAGTGGTTAGAGCGAATAAGCCTATTTTGGATCTCTTGTTATGAGTTCGCGTCGAGAAATATTCGCGATGACGGGGCTCTCGTGAACTTTGCAAAAATTTCTCGCACGTGAATAAACGTTGGTTTACAGCATTCGACATATAGAGACATTGAGAGTACATATTGGAAAAACTCCCCTTTAAAAGTCATCGACTTTAGAATTGAAGATAATAATTTTAAAGCGCATGAACCTTCAACAGGATATATCAATTACATGGGTATTTTGTCTGAACATAGATAATATTTTCTTTTTATATATTGCCATAATTTGTGCGAAAAAAAAATGTGAGGTAAATGAAATGCGGATCTGTATTTATCTATTTATTTATTGAAAGATTTAAGGAGAAATCCTTCATAAGTATGATATCTTGTAATTTGAATAACATCTAGACTTTGATTCTATTCATAAAGTCAAATAATTGTCTTACTTGTTATGCCGTATATACATGAAAGACGATAATTGAAAATGAATTGTGAAGATTTATTATTTCTGTCGATAATAAATAATATTGCGAAGATTCCACTTTTTTTTAATCTGTATCCTTAGACAACTTAAAAATGCAGTTTCTGATTTGCATGTGTTCCGTGGGAAAGGGTGTAGGCATCATGACACAGCATATACTCTATAATTATTGATACAGATGCATGCATTGGTTCCAGCTAAAGACAACACCACGGATGATACATACAAGTGTTACATTGTAAATAAGGAAGCTCGTAAGATACTCTCATCATTTTCCCAGATTTTTAGATTGCAAAGCAAAGCCATAATATCCCAAATGCAATTCCCATATTTACGAACAAAAGTTGTGTTTCATATTTCAAAACGACATTTAATTTTTTTGATAAAGCACCAAGGAAATAAAGTTAAAACAATCGTTTGATAAACATCAATTTTCATTCTGCTTCGTTAAAATGTGACAACTATTACTTCTATATTGAAACTTATAATTTAAAAAATATTAATTTCAAGCGTTGAATTTACATTGAGACGACATTAATACATTATAGATGAAGCATCCAATTTGAAACAGATTAAGTTTTTGTCGATCAACCTACATGTAGAAATCTAGTTAGATTTATTTATCCAATCCGAGATAAATAAACCAATTCCCTTTACTGACGGCATAGACGTGTAGCATACACGCATATGAACTGCCAAACGTGTAACTGAGATTACATTCAATGAGACCATGATACAGATGAATAAGGAGAGACGTAAGTATTATTATCAAGAGTGATGTTTGTGTATTAATGTTATTATGTTTGAAGAGTTTTGAACTTGTTTCCTATGCAAAAAAGTTTCTTTCATCAGCTTCTATTTAGAAATGGCAGCTGTTACAATATCATCACGACAGACTTTGGAATAAAATATATTTGATTAATTTATGCCATCGTTTATGATAAAGGATTTATTTCATTTAAAAAAAAATCATTTCCGCCTCTACCCCCATCTTAGATTTGTGTCTTGAGTTCTTTTTCAACAGTTTGCCTCTATGTAGTTATGGTCGGCTTTTCCTCCATTTTTCTTATGGGGTACATTTTAGTGCCACTCCTGTGATTCCTTTGTATACTACTAGTATTTTAAAACATGACTAATCCATCTCTGTCTGTATTTTCTTGGTGATATGTACATATCTTTTGTTCATAGAGATTTTTTTTGGAATTTTTGCTGGCCAAAATATCCTCAAGATCTTCCTGAGGCACCCATTATGGAAAACTGAAAGTTTGTTTATGTCATTTTCCGTCATTCTCTAGCATTCTTTGTCATACATTAAAGCATGCAGGTTATACACCGCTATTATACAAATTGATCTTAATGCGTCTGCTGATGCTATTTGACTTCCATATACCCTTATTCTCCTTAACCTTAGGAAAGGACACAAACTAGAGACAAGAAAAAGACACTGTATGTTGTTTGTTTACGAGATGTGTTGGAAGAAAAATACATTTATTTACATATTCATTGTAATTGTGTTCTGTTGATCTTTCACATTAAATTTATCGTTGTATAACTTGCCATGTTTTTATTCATTATCTATTCTAATTTTAATTTGTTTTCCAAATCTTAAAGGCTCACACACTGTTTTTAACATCAATTTATCCCATGTTTACCGCTTCATCCAGTGGATATCACTAATTGGATTTTTTTATATCTCCCCGTTGTGATATCACAATGGGTTTTGCGTTAAGATGATGAAAAAATATGTGAATTCTTATATAGAAACAGTGCAAAAGATTGAAATTAGTGTATAAAACATACACATGATAAAAAGAATACCGCATATTTGTATATAATATTTAAATAATATATATATATATATATATATATATATATATATATATATATATATATATATATATATATATATATATATATATATATATATATTTACCAAAGCTCTGGAATTAAATCTCTCCATTCGTCGGATAAAAATCATATCCAACCAAAATTATTGGAGATCCTATATTTATACTTGTTTACACCTTTATTCCGTGGATATTTTTATGTCTTACTGCTCTGACTCACAATGTGTGTTGTCTGAGAGGGATAAATCATTAAATCATTTTTAATACATTGTGTGCCTAAATAAAACTCTTTTTAAAAACGATTGTGATGTTTAAAACATGGAAGAAAAAGAATCTCTAATGATTTGATGTTGAATAGGATTTTTGTGCTTTTTATATCCCTATGCCT